GCTTAGCGTTTCGCTTAGCTTTTCGCTTAGCGTTTAGCTTAGCTTTAGCTTAGCTTTAGCTTAGCTCTAGCTTAGCTCTAGCTTAGCTCTAGCTTAGCTTTAGCTTAGCTTTAGCTTAGCTTTAGCTTAGTTTTAGCTTAGCTTTAGCTTAGCTTTAGCTTAGCTTTAGCTTAGCTTTAGCTTAGCTTTAGCTTAGCTTTAGCTTAGCTTTAGCTTAGCTTTAGCTTAGCTTTAGCTTAGCTTTAGCTTAGCTTTAGCTTAGCTTTAGCTTAGAGCTGCTTAGGCTTAGCTTTAGCTTAGCTTTAGCTTAGCTTTAGCTTAGCTTTAGCTTAGCTTTAGCTTAGCTTTAGCTTAGCGTTACTGTTACTATTAATGCTGTTTCCTAGGGGTTCCAATTCCTAGGTAGGGTCGCACTGGGGTAATCATCAGCATCATCACCAGCACCATCATCACCACCACCACCGCCATCGTCTTCGTCGTCATCATCATCATCCGCATCATCATCATCAGCATCAGCATCATCAGCATCATCATCAGCATCATCATCATCAGCCTCATCATCATCAGCAGCAGCATTATCATCGACGTCACCATCGTCATCCTCATCATCATGTACATCAACATCGTCAGAATCATCCACATCATCAGCATCATGCTCGTCATCACATCATATTCATCATAATCATCATCATCCGCATCAGCATCAGCAGCATCATCAACATTATCAGTACCGTCGCCATCGTCATCCCCATCATCATTGACATCAAGTTGTCATCATCATCCACATCATCGGCATCGGTTTCGTCATCACCATCGTCAGTATCATCAGCATCATAATCATCATCATCATCATCATCATCATCATCATCAGCATCACCATCATCATCATCATCATCATCATCATCATCATCATCATCATCATCATCATCATCATCATCATCATCATCCATCATCGCCATCGGCACCATCATTGTTATCATCGTCGTCATTATCACCCCCATCATCTTCATCACCATCATCATCGCCGTCACCAACATCATGATCATCATCAGAAGCAGCATAATCATCAGCAGCACCAGCGACATCGCTGGCGGTCGCCAGCGCGACTGCAGAGCTGGCGGGACACGCCCAGCACTAGGCGCACCAGGAGAAGGGGGGAAGGAGGCCTGGGCCGCCGAATCAGCGGGGAAGTAGACCAGCACGGCTGACCTGCATGGCAAGCCACAGGAGAGCTGCAAACCAGCCTGGCATACCACAGCAGCACGCAAAACCAGCACGGCACACCACGACAGCACGGCAGACCGCAGGAGCGCGGCAGAGCATCACAGCAGACTACGGTAGCACTGCAGACCAGCCTGGCTGACCATAGCAGCAACACGACAGAGCAGCGGCAAGACAGACCAGCAAGACGAGAATCCTCTCGAAGCCAAATTACAAAAAAGGGGTTCTTCCCGTTCCTTTTCGGTCAGGTGTCTGAAGAGTGGCAATTTCGCTCGAGACATCATCCAAAATCGGGTCTGGAAGTGAGCCTGAACCAACGTCGCCCAGGAATCGCCCCTGGAGGGCCTCGAAATTGCCCCGAAGAGCCCCGGAAGGCACCCCAGAGGACCCAACGAGAGACCCAGGATGCCCCCAAGAGGGCTCAAGGCCCCCAGCGGACCCAAGGGAGATCCAAGACAGCCCAAGATGGCGCCAAAACGGCCCAGCAGTCCCCACAGAGCCCTAAGACTCGCCCAAACAGCCCATGAAGGCCCCCAAAGAGGACCCCGAAAGGCCCTCAAGAGGCCCCCAGGATGCCCCAAGAGTCCCCAACAGTCCCCAGCGCAGCCTCAAAAGATCACGAGGACATCCCCCCTTCGCCGTCGTGGTGCGCACTGCTGTCCTCATTCGTTTTCATCCTCCTCCTCCTCCTCCTCCTCCTCCTCCTCCACCTCCTCCTCCTCCTCCTCCTCCTCCTCCTCCTCCTCCTCCTCCTCCTCCTCCTCCTCCTCCTCCTCCTCCTCTGCACCCAAGTGCTGGCTGAGGTGCGCGACCAACTTATCCAAGCGGATCTTGGATCAGGCATGCCAAACTTCGAGCAGTCCTACCTAGTCCTTGGCATACCCGAACCTCCCACTTATCTGCCACGCGCAGATACGCGGAGGCATGATGTCTGCCTTTGGGGCGACGCCCATGGCGTTTGGGGCCCCGTTTCTTACACCGACGGGTCTGGTTACGACTGAGCTGTTCCCGAGGTGCGGAGATGTGGACAAGCTGTTGTGCAGCTTGACCCTCACTCTTGGCTCCCAGTTAGGGCGCCTTTCGGGGCCCTTCCGTATTTGGTGCAGACTGTCGGCCGTGCTGAGAGGTACGCGATCAGGGAGGGGCTCGACGCTTTCCCTGACCACCAGTGCTTCGTCACTGACCTGCTGGCGCTCGCCCAGGAAGGAGAGCGTTGGTGTCCTGAGCTCGAGCAGGGTCGTGCCAAGCATGCTCGAGCGTGGCGGGACATTTTCGTGGCCAGCCGCGGGCGCACTCTGCGGGACCCTCCCAAATTCCGATGGACGCCAGCGCACAGGTCCTTGGAGGAGCTTATGGGTACAGAGCCGCAGGAGCTGCGTGACTGGCTAGGCAACGGCTGGGCAGACCACTTCGCGCGCTGCGGCGCAGCCTCTCACGCGCTGGCTGGGTTGGTAGCTGAGGCGGCAACAGCTGCGCTGAAACAGCACCGCAAGGTCCTGCAGTTCGTTTCGTGGGCGGCACTGCAGGTGGTGACACGCAAACAATGGGGGTGCGACGTGGAGGTCCCCAGGCCACCTCGCGAGCAGGCCAGGCCCATTGCGGCGGCACGCAGCACGGACCATGCCCTTGCTTACTGCGCCAGCCTCGGACGGTACCGATGTACCCAATGCGGAGTCACGGCCAGAACGGGCTCCTCCCTCGAGTCGCTGCAAAGTGGCTCTCATCGCGTACGTCGCCCTTCGCGTGTTGCCAGAGCTCTCAACGCCGAGCGTTTCCGCACCTTCGGCGAAGGCTGGGTTCTCTGCAGCGACCAGAGGGCTGGATGTCCCTGGGCGCGGCCTTGGCGCTCGAAGGGAGATCACAGCCCTCGGCCTCCGCAGCCTTGTTGCCACCTGCCCTGGCCGAGGAGGTCGGGGACGCCTTCGCTGCCGTCGGGCACGACGTGGTCAGGGGCAACCATAGTTACTGTTGCAGGCGCTGCGGGTCTCACTGTGTTGCGGGAGATGTCCGCACAGTGCGGAAGCTTGGCTTGGGGCGCCATGGGCTCTCACCCAACGAGTCCACGCTCCGCAACCAGCAAGATGCGATCAGGCGCGTCGAAAGGGGCCTGGCGCCTCGTGCCCGACGTACCCCAGCAGCGCCGCCCCCGCAGGGGGGCTCCTCTTGCAGCCACGCGGCGCGTTGATCGACCATGTCGTGATTCGCTGCCGTTCTGTGGTCGGCTGGTGGCACGGCGTCTTCTTCGGTGGCGACGCCTCCTTCGTCGGCGGCAAGTTGGCCTGCGTCCACGGCCTTGAGGCGACTTCTTCCAATTGCTCTCCTTCTACATTGCCTCCTGCTCTTACGGCACCGTGCCGTGAGTAGGCGGCGCCAGGGGTAGTCCGTCGCGCGCCCACGTGCGCGGCGGGAGACCTTCCTGAGGCGCTGCGTTCCTCCTCCTCCTCCTCCTCCTCCTCCTCCTCTGCATTCCTCTTCGTGCTCGTCCTCCTCCATCTCGTCCTCCTCGTCCTTTGTATTTGTATTCCTCCTCGTTGTCCTCCTGCTCCCCTCGCTGCCCTCCCCGTCATTCACGTTATCATCGTCATCCGCCGCCTTGTCGTCGCCATCATCCTTCTCTTCTTTCCCCCCCAGTGGGCCCATTGGACAAAATCGGCGCTCCCGCTCTTCCTCGATCAACAAAAAACTTGAAGCGGCCCACGTCCAGGAGGTCTGGGCGCTCCTGGACACTCCTGGGTGCTTCCTGGCGATCTTGGGAACTGTCGCTGGACTGTTCCAGAAGCAAGAGTGCCACGAAACAGGCTTGACAGGGCTCCACGAGGCCTCCGAAGAGGTCCAAGGGAGCCCCGAGACCGCTAAAGGGTACTCCAAGTTGGCATCAAAGACAGCCTGAGGGGCCCCAGAGACCCCCAAGAGGGCCCAAAAAGGACCCCCAAGAAGGCCCCAACAGGCCAAGATCACCTCATTCCTGTGTTACGTCTTAGGTGTTAGTGTTCTCTCCGTTGCGGGCTGCCGACCGCCCAGGACGGCCCAGGAGGTCTCCGAGATCGCCCCGGGACGGCCCAACAGCGCCTCAAGAGGGCCCGACGACAGCCCCGCAGGGACCCGGGACGGCCCCAAAGGCCGCCCACACGGCCAAGGAGGCCCCAAAGGGGCCCTGAGAGGGGGAACTCGAACTGGCCGTCGGAGCCCTCCGAGGCCGAGATGGCCCCCGAGGCGGCCAGGACGTCCTCAGCAGGCCCCAAGGGCCGCCCAAGAGGCCACGAGAGGCTCCAAGAGGCCCCAACAAAAATCTCTGATGCCTCCAACAGGCTCCCGAGAGGCCCCCAACAAGCCCGTAGGAGGCCCCCTCGGAGCCTCCGAAGAAGCATCCACAAGGGCGGCATCTCAAGCGGACCCTAAGACCCATCCCGACAGGCATCCAAGACGCCTCTGGCCCACGACCCAGGCACGGTGGCTGGATGGGCCGAAGGCCGCCAGACACGTGGCTTTGAGAGCGCAAGCCCAGACGCTGTGCATAGCTCGCTGGAGTCCCTCTTGGGTCGACTCGGGGGCCTGTTGGGGTTGTGTTTGGGGCCACTTCCGTAGCTCCTAGAGGCCTCTGTGAAGCTACCAGGGGGGCTGAGGGAGGCTCTCTGGTGGCGAGCCTTGGTGTTTTCGAGGCTCGTTTGAAGTCGCCTCGTAAACGTCTCGGGGACCTATCCGAGCCGTATCTGGGAATTCGCTCGGGCTACATGGGGCGTCATGGTCACGGTAGGGGGTATGTGTTGGCGTTATTGAGCCCGCTGGACTACCTTGCAGGGCATGTTTGCTTTGCTGTTGGAGCCGCCGTATCCCATGTGGCGAAAGCTGCACGGGAAAAAAACTGACCCAAGGAACGAGTGCCAAGTCTCAACTGGAAATCGCATGGCATCAAATGACAGCATATGGTGAAACGTGATCCCTGTGAAAGCGTGACAGCGTGTCAGGAGCAGGCAGCTCATTCACTCCAGACCCTCGCAGATCAGAGGTTGTTGACCACGGTTACATCTTCCCGTGCAGAGCTCTCCTCCAGCGGCGCATTGCTCCCTCTTCGCTGCGGCACACGGCGTCCGCAAAGGCTGCAGGCATCCCAGTCGCCTAAGAAGAAGCGCACCAACATGGGGCCTACCAAAGGTACGCGAGCAACGTTGGCAGGCCCTGCAAGGCTCAGGCTCAATACGAACGGACCTGCAAACAGAGCACAAACAACGATCGACACGCAAAAATCAACCAAGTAAACCGTCAAGCAAATGAGCATGGTTTGAAGGGATTTCGCTGCAAACGCTCTGCGGTCTGACCCCAAGAAGAAAACGAAGCAGACATACCAAGTAACCCCTTGCAGGATGCATAAGTAGGCGGTGGCTCCATGATCGAAATGGCAGGCGTAACCCCACCAAACTGCATGAGCGGGAAGCCAAACCCATACTCCGCCTGCCTGCACGACAACCGAAGCCGTGTACCAGTTGCTTGCATTACCAAGTCTGCCAGCTCGCTCCGCCGCGCTACGCAGGTGGTCCGTGGAGAGGCCTGTGCGAATCAGAACGTCCACGCAATGGTCTACAGCAAGCTCTTGCTCGTGCAGCTCAACACGAATATGGTCACCGTCCTGTTGCACGGAGCATCGTGCGTCGCGAACGCGGCCCGTGTAGCCTGAGCTGAGGTTTGCCTTTTCGTGCGCGGCTTCAACGGCCCACAAGCGGTCCGCTTCCAGACACATACTGTAAGTAATAGCAATGAAGACGCCAAACCAATTCATGGGAAATCTGGGGTCCATTTGCCATACTAAACCGATGCAAATGCCAGACATGTGTGCTGCCACTGCGCAAGAATGGCGACAGGCAGGGGATGCTGGCGTCTTCCGCCGGACTGTGTAGTCAACGTTTGCGCAAATCGCGCAAAAAATGATGAGGCTTTGAATCATATAAGCAAATCGTTCGATACCCACAAATACGATGAGAAGCCAGCATGAAGCGCCAATGCTGACACCAACGAAGCACACACCCGACTGGGATACCACGCGAGGCCAGAAACCATGCACTGGCCTTGACGCGCAGAAGATCCGCTTGTCCCAGGTGTATGCCAAGTACGCCTCGTAGGTGCACCAGATCCTGCTGTACACACTTTCTCTCTTGTTGGATACGACCATAACGTCTGTTGCCGAACGTAAGGCGTGGGCAAAAGGAGAGTCGATTGGGCGTGATATTAGACCCGCGATATCCAGATTTTGGGGGTTGGACAAGAAGCACAAGTATGCATGCTGTTTGCCTGCAGGCCACGAATACTCAATCTTGTCCAAGAGTTCATAGATGCCCTCTTGCCAGCTGTGCGATATGAAGAGGTCGCATTGAAGTCCCTCTGGATGGAGCATGAGAGCCCAGCTCATGTTCCCGGCGCGAGAAGTTATGGGAACTATGTACTGCTCGCTGACGCTGTAGATGCTGGGCCCCACCTCGTTCTCCCCCGGCACGAACGGGTCATGCGGGCTGGGCGTGATGCGCCCGTCCAGCACGGCTCGCCGCACCAGCCTCCGGAGCTGCTGCAGGTCCTCCCGCCTCACGCACCACTTCTGCGGAGGGACGCTGCAGTGCAGCTGGCTCCCATCGAATGTGCTCGTGGAGGGATCGTGGTCTCCGACGTCCGCGCTGCTCTCGATCGGAACCTTGCCGGCACAGAGACGGCGACGACCTCCCGCGACGAGTGCTGCCCCGACGGCGCAGATGAGCACGACGAGGACGCAGGCCGACGTCATGTGCTCGGAGCTGTAGTTGCCACAGCCGTCTCTGTCGAACGTGAAGTGAGCAGGACGGGAAGCTCCAGCCGCAAGAAGGCTCACGTTGTGCGAGTCATGCTCCACGCAGCACGTGTAACGGTAAAGCCGCTGCGAATACCCTGCAAAGTGCGAGGGTTTGTCCAGGACGAGCGCGGTGCCCTTCTCGCAGGAGCACGGCTGCGTCTCTACTCCTGCCTGACAGTCCTTTCCAAAGTCGCTGCACCAGCTCGCGTCACAGATGATGCCCGCCTCGGGTAACCGAAAGTTGTGCTGGATCACCAGACAAACAAGAAAACAGATGCTTGGGATCATGGACGATGTTGTGATAATGTCGCTCTCACGCCCGAAGTGCCATCGATTTTTGAACCGAACGACGCCAGATCGAACCGTGACCAGCAGAGACTGAGCCAACGATTTGAGCGAGGCTTGGGCCGAGATGCACGACATTGGAAGCCTCCTGGACCAGAGTGGGCGCTCTTGTTACAGAAAGGTCGAGAAGCCGAAATCAACCACTCTCACTGAAAAGAATTGAATGATTTGTCGGCGGCACCCCAAATGAGAAGCTGAGGAAGAATCCAGAGGACGTAGGAGCAACAGCACGTGCGGGAGGATTCGGCCTGGGCGTTTGTCCGGAGAGGGAAGAGGAGAGGAAGAACAAGGAAGAGGAGGGAGGAGAGCAGCAGGAAGAAGAGGACCAGAGGAGGCCCAACTACGGGAACAAAAAGTGCCATAAACATAAAAACTCGGAGGTCCACGCGGATTTCTCGGATCGGCGCTGGACCCCCCTCCCTGGCGCGCGGAGCGCGCCATGGGCGGCGCCGGAGGCGCCGCCGGGGGGCCCCAGCGCCGATCTGAGAAATCCGCGCGGACCTCAGAGTTTTTATGTTTATGTCACTTTTTGTTCCCCTACCAACGTGCATCAACGACGCTGCAGTATACCCTCCCGTCCTAAGTCCCCTCCTCGCAGTCTCTTGTTCCGCTGCGGGAAGCGCCACCCCTGACAGGCGAGCGCCCCGTGGGGCCACCGTCCAGGCGGGAGCTCCGTGCTGCAGGAAGCCGCCCTCCATGCCTCGGGCCACGGGGAGTTCGGCACGGTGCGGCAGCAGAGTCCGAGGAGGTGCCCAACGATACACCCGCTCTGAAGGGGGAAGCAAAAAACAAAAACCGACAACAACAACAACAACAACAACAACAACAACAACAACAACAACAACAACAACAACAACAGCAGCAACAGCAACAATTACAACAACAACAACAACAACAACAACAACAACAACTACAACTACTACTACTACTACTACTACTACAACCACAACCACAACCACAACCACAACCACAACCACAACCACAACCACAACCGCAACCACAACCACAACCACAACAACAATAACATCAACAACAACAACAACATCAACAACGACAACAACAACAACAACAGCATCAACAACAACAGCAAAACAACAACAACAACAACAGCAACAACAACAACAACAACAACAGCAGCAGCAGCAGTCGCAACAACAACAACAACAACAACAACAACAACAACCACAACCACCAACAACAACAACAACAACAACAACAACAACAACAACAACAACAACAACAACAACAACAATTACTAGCACGTGGGGACACTCCGTTCTCACCAGTGCCAGGGTTTTCATAGGAGGCGGGCAATACCCCCACTTTGTGGGGGGGCCGGTTCAAGCTCTACCAAATTTCCAAACGACTCTTCGCCACCACCCACACCCAGCTTCCCGCCCTATGACGTTCGGACACTTCACTTCGTGGCATGCGGACGACCGTGGCTACTATTCAGGGCCCCGCGGCCGACGACGACGGCGTGCGCGCGCGAAGAAAAAACGAATGTGTCCCGCATGGTATTATTTGACAGGGATGATGGCCCTGGCAGGTGCGCAACCGTTGTTGCAGAAGTTCGAAAAAGTTGCTCGCAAAAGCCCGTTTGACAGAAATGTTTAAAAAGTGTTGGGTTTCCTACGAATCCGCAAGAGCGCGCGGGATGAAATTTTGACATTTTTTTTTGAAAAAAACCATTGGTTTTTTGATATTTTTATGTTAAAATCGCTACGAAAACTAAGGTTTTGGAAGGATTTCGTCTTGCGCGCGCGAATGTCCACTTTACCTTATTTTTTGCAAGGGATTCTTGAAGTTTGGTTATGTTAGAACAAGAAATGTCCACTTTAGCTTATTTTTTGCAAGGGAAAACCCATCGTAACAACACAACCGGATCCGGACCAACCCGTTTTGCCTGAGACTTCCTCACGAAAATGATGAAAATGAGGCTGCGGCCTAGGCGCGGCGGGGGGGTCGCGCACCAGGGGCCCCAACAATAATTATTCTTTAGAAGTAATAATGTTCAACAACAACTACAATAATGCTTAAGACCGTTCGCCCTTATATGCTCGAGTGTCCAATAACGCGTATTTCCCAAGCCCTCGATACCCGCCCTCTTCGTCTTCGATCGAACCCCTTTCGGGGGGTAGACCTTTCTTCCCTGCAGGCCGGGCCCCTGCAAGCGGCGGGGCGGCCGCTGACCGTCGGCCTGGCCAGCGGCAGCGCTGATCGGCGGGGCGGCCGCGGACCGTCGACCCGACCCCAAGAGGGACGGACAGGGGACCGACCACGACGACGACGACGACGACGACGACGACGGCGACGACGAGCGAAAGCGAGAGCGAGAGAGAACGACAGCAGGGCCACGAAGGGCACGAAGTAGGCCACGAAGGGCGACAGCGGGGACACAAAGGGAATGCGTAAGGGGCCACGAAGAGCGGGGGCCACGAAGTGCAGATAATGTGGGGCCACAGAAGGCAACTATGAGGCCACTGAGGGTAGCAACTGGGCCACGTAGGACAGCGAGGGGGCCACAAACGGCGACAGCGGGGCCACGAAGGGCACGCACATGGGGCCACAACGGGCGCGACTCCGGGGTGCCTGGGTGTCGGGAGCGCGGCGCTTAGGCAAATTGCAAGAAATTCCAACGCAAGGCCATTCTTCAGCAAGTTGCAAGCCAGTCTCCAGCGAGAACGCGACTCCAGAGCGCCAGGAAAGCGATTCCTGAATAAATTGTAAGGAAGTCCCAAGCGAGAGCGCGATTCCTGAATAAAATGCGAGGAAGTCTCGGGCGGGAGCGGGGGTCCTGGCCAAATTGCAAGGAAGTCTCAG